ACATGATATTATTTTAACTTCATGCCACAGAGAAATGACTGCAGATTGAGCTGCTCGTGAATCCTCTGGAATTGTTAAGACTCTACAGAAGCAAATATAAAGTACATGAAGCTGTGTATTTATATTTAACAGGAGCTGAATCGTATATTATAAAGTTTCCTACAGAACTTGTTTAAATGTCCCATGTTGGAGACGTCCTGACTCTGAGTGTCTTCACTTCGTGTTTGCTCATGAATTAATCCTCTTAGATGTAGAAGAGTTCAGAGTGAACATCATAAATGCTCCCAGAGAACTGAGCTTCCTGGTTTACAAACTAAGACGGTTCATTTCACAGAACTCTGACAGAATCCTGAGAGCAGAGGTTTGTCGGGTACAAACAAGCAGCGAGCGAAGAGAAGGAGACAAACATTTACATCTGAGAGTTACGAGTTTCTTGTGAGAGAGAAAAGAGATTTGAGGCAAAAGAAATGATTCCGTGAATTATGAAAATCCATAAAAGATAAAGTGAAAATAATAAATTCAGTTATTTGTCTCCACACTGAGCTTCCTCTGACCTCTCATCCATCATTAATCACTTCAGGGATATTTGTCTTTGTTAATTAACTCCTTTGTTCACCACAGTGAACTGTATACCCGTCATTTAGCATCTGTTGTGTGAGCGTGCAGCAGGAAGCTGCAGGACAAGAATCCGTCCTGCAGCTTCCTCGTGGCCTCACCTTCACTGACACGGTGCCAGCGGTGCAGCATCTGGACGCAGTCGACCAAAAGCCAATGTTCATGTTCGCCTGCATCTTTTATTAATTTCATCTGATTTCACAGAGTAATTACAGCCTCCGTCACCACCTCCTCTTGTTCCTGTCGTTCATTCCTCTGATTCTTTAGGGCCACACATGTAATTGTCTGTTTTAAAGACAAGGGTTCGATCTTCCTGCTTCTGTTCTCTTTCCCTGTTTGAGTTCCTCGGTAGAGATGGAGCGGCAGATGTGAATAGAGTCTGTGTGTTAATCGTGGCTGAAGGCGTCATGAGCGTAAACAAAACCAAATGTTCACGATCACAAACCACGACTGTGAAGTGAAGTGACAGGAGCCTCAGATACGAAGGATTTTACTGCATCATAACGTTTCAGGCATTTGAAAAATTCAAAACCTGCTGAGGACGTTGTTTTCTTAAATCTGCACCTCAACTCTGAGAAATGAACAAAAAGCGTTGATAAGATCTTTTCATTGAGAATCTTTGGGCTCAGCTCGAAACTCCATTTATAAAACCTTAATGCACCAGTGACTGTGATCTCTGTGATGTTAGCGTGTGTTCATTTGAACTCTACAGTCACTTCGTGTCAATCGTCACAAAAACCCAGTGAAGCCAAACGTATGTGGACACACCTGTAAACGTACTTGTCTGATCCCGTGTTGTACACATGGCTGTAATACATATGGGTGTCCGTATACTTTGGGCCACTCAGTCTCGCCCCCGTCGTGCTCTTGCTGCCACGTCTCTCTCTGCTCTTTGTTGTTCGTTCGAGCCTTTGTTCTGCCGGACGCATCAATTAGCCAGATAATACAGGACTACCCACAAGCCCCTGGGACACGGTCCAAAACTCCAATCATTTTGGCAGAGCCTCGGCTGTAATCTGGTGAACTGGCGGCCGCGCTGTAGATACAATTAGAGGCAGCTCGACCAATGAGGCTGCTCGGTGTCACGGATACGTGTAAACAACGAGGAAAATCTGATCTGAGTTTAAATGATCACTTCTCTGTGAAGGGTCGACAGCAGGACCGTCCACTGCTGGAGCCGCTGGTTGACGTCCCACAGCCTCGGGGACAAAGGAACAAATGGATGTTTGGTGGAATTAATACAGTTTGTTAATCACAAATGTTTGTTACAGCCGCAGCTCTTCTGGTTCAGGGAGCAGGGGATCATGGGTAATATCCAGCGTTGTGTTTCAGTTCAGTGAGCGGAATGACAGCTCGGCTCTAAAGACTGAAAGGCTTTGTTTTCAGGTCATGAACACCACTCAACCAATCAAGGTCTTAATAATCAGCCATTTTACACAGAGTCGAATAAAAAAGATGGTAATGGCAGATTATGGGAAACTCAGGACACAGAGACGGAAAAGAACCAAATCCAAGTACTGAAGGGAGCGGAGGAGTGAACTGAGGTGGAAGACCAGTCGAGCTGCTGCGTTCTGGAAGAGCTGCAGCGGTCAGAGACATTAGGTACAGGTAGACCAGCCGGGGGGAGGGGGGGGCTTCAGTCAGAGGTTTGTGCAGACTGGAGAAAAGAGAAGATTAATCATCTGCGAAGCTTCTTTGGGTTTGTTCAGGAGACGGTTCAGACCTGGTTCCTCTGGAGACGCAGGCGTGGTATGTTTTCTGAGGCTGCTGGTACTTTGTTCCTTTTATTCGTCTCTAGCATCTTGAAGTTTCTGACTTCAGAACACAAATATCCTCATTTCTGGAAAACATGTTTTAAGACGACTCATATTCACTGATAATCAACAAGCACCTGAACATTAACTTTGTCCTGTTGTGGAAGTTAAAGTCATGATTCTCCGTCATGTTCTTTCTGACAGGATTTGGCCTAAACTTTTAAGCTCCGTCCTCCAAAACTTGGAACAGATTAAAAAACAACTTTGCATGCAAACAAAACTGCAGCTGATCGACATCTCATTTCAGTGAGAGCTGAGAGATGGTATGAGCGTATCCATGACTAATCCAAACTCTCTGTAATCTCGGGCCAGTGCGTTCTCCACCATTCTGACAAACAAACACACATAAGAAGTACAGTATTTACATGTGATGCATTATCATGCTTCTATTTTTACCCTCATAGAAGCTTTTA